CCCCATCTCTTCCGGAGGGGAGTGGCTTACAGTGAGCCCTACCTCAGTAAATCCCATACCTGCGAGATTCCCTGAATGTGCCATTACGTTGTCAGCGGGTGGACTGTTGCACGCACAAGGCCCAACTTGCTCCACACGAACACACACACACACACATACTCGCGCGCGCGCGCGCACACACACACACACACAGGGAGGGGGGGGCGTACGAATGCGGGGCGCCCCGGTTGACGTGTTGATTGATAGGTTGACCGTTCGGAAGGAAACCCGCTTATTTCGACTTTCCAGTCAAAATATTTGCAGCGTTTCCCACGACGCTATATTCCCGAGGGGAAGAAATCAGAAAGCAGCCAGACGAGCCAAACTGCACTAACTAAAGTGTTTGAGGTGTTTGAAACCGTTGTCGCGTCCTTAAAGGGGTTTGGCAGGGATTTTAAGCACCTGCAAGTCACTGTAAAAAATATGTTCGTGCATGTACGATATCACTATCACTGGAAAAACAAAGGTGCGAAGTCGTGCCTTTCCTAGGGCACTACCCAAATTTTGAGTTCAGTGCCCAGTGCCCCTGTCTGTAAAGGCACTAAAGGGCCCTAAAGGTCCTAAAAATTACTGCCTTTGGCAGACCCTTCGTGCCTTTGCGTTTTCCATTAGCTCTTATGGCGCGTTCACCAGTTCGTTCACTTTTTCACCGCGATCCCGTTCACCCCGCCGTTCTCGAAAACCCCCCCAGAGTGTGAATTCGGTGCATATGACTCAAATAGGGTGAGCCTTCTGGTCAACACTCTGATTGAGTGAGGCAAAATTGTCTCGCTCATTTCGAGAACGACTCATTCAAAGATTTTCACTGTTAGTGATATAGTCGCGAAAGACCTCCGAAAACACTGCGGAAAACTAATAGTAATAAATACTAATAATTTAAAGGTTTAAACTAGTCGCTTCACGGAGACTAAACTCGCAGCAATAGTAGATGAACCAAAGGACGGGATTATTATTTAGCCGTGTTGCAAAAAGTTTGATGAGTGCCCTAACATTTCGCATCAGCGTTAATTGGATAAGAGAGGTTACACACTGTACACTGCAAACCCAAACAATGAACTTAGTACACACAAAGAAGAGTCAGTGTCAGTATGTTTAAACGAACATAAGAACTCTAAACTTAGAACACTGATCATCAACATTACTCGATTTTGCGCTTTCCGGGAATAATCCTAAAGAACTTTGAAAATTGTCAACACGTTCACTGATATATTAAGTGTGCAACTGACACACTTTAAAGTGTTTAACACCGTGAGGCATACTTCTATGTGTGCAACACGAGTTTTGAATAGTTGGAAGTGTTCAACAGGTGTGTTGCACACTTTTTAGTGTTCAACTTGAGTGTTGAGCTATAGTGCTCGACGGTCAGGTTGAACATTTAAAAGTGTGCAACATACCTGTTGAACACTTCCAACTATTCAAAACTCGTATTGCACAGATAGAAGTATGCCACACGGTGTTAAACACTTTAAAGTGTGTGTCAGTTGCACACTTTATATATCAGTGTTGTGTTTGCGATACCATACATTTGATACCCCATGACCCAACGTGTTAATCAACGACGAAGTATACTTCTTTTTAAAATCTAACACCCCACAAATATTTTGTTAACAGTGAAATGGAAGTTTTTTCTTCAAAGAACTGCTCTTTGTAAACGTACAAAGTATATGGCACCTTCGTGATACAAACAAATCAATTGCGAAGGGTTCGGCTTCGTAATACGAAGAGCACGTGTCAGTTAACTGAGTGGTGGTGTTTGTAAGACGAAGAAAATCCGTTTGTAAAATGTTGGTTCCAGATCTTTGTTATGTTACAAACCTAATTCTTCGTAATATGAATAATTCACTTTGTAGGAACTAGGAGTGATTGACAACCGCAAGGGTGAATCGCACTAGGAGCAGAGGAGTGAGGGTGGAGGGAAAGAGGATAAAACAATCCATACTGCGGACGGGCTTCGTCAGCAGGGCAACTCTGTTCCGTTGCATGCCTCCTCATGGGTGGCTCTCGGAATAGAATCTTTATCTCGCACCGACACGCGCAACAAAAACACACACACAAACACACACACACACACACACACACACACACACACACACACACACACACACAGTTACTTTTCTGTTAAGATTTTGCGTATGATAGCGGAGCAGATGAACACACGCGGCGACGTTTATTATATGCATAAGCTGCTGCTCCCCGCCGGTGCGATTATCATAATTGTAAGAATAAAAAGTGGGAAGAGGGAAAGAAGGGGGAGGGGGCGCAGGGGGTCTTAACGAGGTTCCCAGCGCGCCGGGCCCTGGCCGGGCCTGCTGAGCCGGCGGGGACCAGGCGGGGACCAGGCGGGGACCGCCTGCGGGCGAGCCGGCCCGCCGCGCGCCGCTACGGCACTGGCGGCCTACCCAGCCAGGGGCTCGGCTCCGCGCGGCTCCTCGCGGCACACTCGTCCGAGGGGTCCCCCACTCGCCAACTCGCTGTACACGAAGAAAAATACTCGCGAAAAACTCGAAAAACTCGCAAAAAAAAAAAGAACTACTCGCCAAATACTGGTGGAAACTCGGCAATGCTCTCGAATACTCGCGGCTACTCGCGCCTCATTGTACACCTACTTGGAGGGTGGGGGACCCCTGCTCGCACTCGTCTGCTCGAGTCACGGTAAAGTCACGGTAAAGTCCCGGACTAGCGGCGGGCTGCACGCAAAGCCCCCACCCGCCTGCACGGCACGCAGATGAGAGCATAACTCGACATCTTATAAAGCTTCCGATAGAAGGAGCCACTTATACGAAATAACTATTCCTGGGCCTAGCTCAGCGGGTGCGAGCGGGTAGGCTCGACCGATGTGCCGAGCTGGGTGAGGGGTGGGAAGTGAAGGGCTGGTGTGTGACACCATAGTCAGTCATGAGAGCGCACACTGATCAATAAAGTGTGCAAACTTTACTCTAAAGGGGAAAGTACACATTTGTATCCATCAAGGATGTGTTATGAAGCACATCTCAATCGGATGAAAACACTTGGATAAACAAAGGTAAGACTTAATGCTATTTTAGGGGTGTTGAATTTTCATGCCTTTCCTTTGAAAAGGCACAGAGGTGTTCAGAGGCATGAAAACTTAGTACCTTCGGCCACTTTTAATGCCTGTGTAGGGGTGCTACGTTTAAATAATGCATTTGTAAGGGCATTAAAACCCTTTGAGTCTGAATTTTGTTTTTCCAGTGAATTTGTCTCTGAGCTACACAAAAAAAGTTATTTGTTCTAAGACTAGGTTTGTAACACGAGAGCCAAGTCTACTTTCTTAAGTGTAGACATGGCCATGTCTACTTCCTTAAATGTTGGCAACGCACACATTTACAGAGCAGATCCTGAAATTGTTCGAACAACCTTCCATCAATCGACGTGCTGGTCGAGGAGGTTCGACCTTCCCCAACCGCTCACAGCAGAGAGTCACGCATCGGACCAGCTGTAGAGCTTGTCCGTCTCACTCGTACAGCACACTAAAAACGCAACTGTGTAAATGTCGCACACTTGAAGGTGTGTGTGTGCCATTCGTACACATGGAGGTATGAGTGTGAACTTCAAAGGAAACACACCTACAAGTGTGCACACTTGCGACATTCACACACTTGCGTTTCCAGCGCGCCGCTTAATGATCGCTTTCTCTTGCACGTCAACGCCAGTGATGCAGCCGCGGGGGGAGGGGCGCATCACGGAAGCCTTCGTGGCGTGCCGTACAAAGCGCCCCGCCTGACTCTCTGAGGCAGCTACTTGTGTTCCCCAGCGAGAAGGGGCGGTGATTGGAGGGCAATCAAATTATAGGCAAGCCACTATCCGTACCGCGTGGTGGAGCTGGGACTCATCTCAACGGGATCACTATGTGAGTTTTGTCCCCCCCCACACACACACACACACACACACACACGCACACGCACACGCACACGCACACTCACACCACCACCACCACCACCACCACCACCACCACTGTCCGCGGCAACACCAAAGTACAGTTTGAAGGTGTTTGAATGAAACAAATACGAAAGCTGCCGGCTACTAAGGTGCTCAGCTTGTGGCACAGTACCTGTTAAATGGCTTCCAGTGAATTCAAAGTCGTCGTCCTGGTCCCAATGCTTCAGTGACAAGTTTGACAGCGGTGTTGCATTTGCAAACTCTAAATTAGCAAAGTGCCAGTCTAGAATTTGGCGGTCTCTTGAGGATAGGTACACATCACTGGAAAGTAAGAGAGAGAGACTGAATATAAGAGCGTTATGTTACGTGTGAAGTAAATTGGATCATGCTTCTACCTTGGAGGAGATGCCTCCAATTCCTGAAGCTTTTCTTCAATTTCTTTCTGCTGCTCGAGAAGCTGATCCCATTCCTGTTCAACCAAAAATTTATGGAAAGAATTAAGATAAAAAATGTCTAAGCTTTTAGATTGATAGATAGATAGATTTGATTTCATTATTCTTACCCGACATGCATGACTCAGATCACGGAGTTTTGATCTTGCTTCAAACTCTTCATTTATGTTTTTTTTAATGTTGATAAACTCTTGAGTCTGTTTGTGTAGTTCTTGGATTCGTTCCTGCAATGAGATCATCTGACAAAAAAAAGAAAATTACCATAGGACTTGCCTCCAAATAAATATTTACCACATTTGATAAAGCACAAGACACATACCTTGTTTTGATTTGTTTTTAAACGGTCCTGCAAGGTAATCACTGCCTTCCAGTGCTGTATTTGCTTTTCTTTGACATTCTTTTCTTGCAGTCTGCAAATAAATGTTAACAAATCAGTTTCTAGATTAAAGAGTTTGGCTGAAGTAATGTCAGTGTGATAGAGGACAGATTTTTTTTTAAAGGCAGGGTATGAAACTGCACCCTTAACAGTAACTAACAAGTAGAACAGTTACAAAATGAGCCGATACAATCATACTAAGTATGGAGCAGTTTGGATCCACTTAGACTTAACTTAGATAAGAAACCAAGAACTCAGTAGAAGAAATCATATATTAGCTCTAGTGATTACGAACATTTCATAAAAACATTCAAAACTACTGTAACCATTTTACATGATTGGAGATTAGATATATTTCTTGGATTGGACCTCTTAATGAATGTCACAGTTGTTATTAGATTAGATTGATTGATTGGTAGAAGCTTTGGAGCACAATAAACTATACACCATGGCTGCAACACTTCCAAGAAATAACAGATAACTGATAACTGCTAAATTTTGTACAGTTGCAGGTTTTGTCATTTGTAGTGTGTTTCAGTCAACATACATTGCAATAAAAACTAGTTTAATGGCGTAAACTGCAGAAACAACCTTTGTACAATGGTTCTGTTGTCTGTTATTTCTTTTCAGGTGATACAGCCCATTTACCATTTACAATTAACTTACTTTATCACCCATTCTAAGGCTTGCCCCAGGGACACTGGGCGTCCTCCAGCATAGTTAAAATCCAGTTGATGTGATAAATAACTGGTGGCTTCAAGTAAACGATTAAATTCTCTTTCAACCATTTCATCTTTATCCTTTGGAACCTGAATTTTTTAAAATGAAAGTAAAATGTATTTAAAATGTGACATCAAACGAATAAGCTGCCTTAGTAGGCCTAGCAGACCAGCATGTCTGCCAAAGATACACCTTGCATCTTACTTTCTGGCCTACATGTGAATTACACAAGCAGCTTTCCTTGTTCAAGTCAAAGAATGAAGAGTACTACTCACAGTGCTGCCATTAGACTCATAAAGAGGGCACTTCTGGTGTATCTTGTGAAGCTCCATGTTGATTTGTTTGGACAGGACTGTAATGGGGTTTCCACCTAGACCTGTGACAACCATGGCACCCAAATCTGCAATATAGCTGGACTTCCTGAATGTGGCAATACGTCCTCCAACTCTGTCCTACAAAGGTGACAAGGGCATAGTAATTTATGTTTGTTTTTGTCAAATCAGAAAATAATAGGCAACATATAATTTTTTTAGACTTACTCTAGATTCCAAGACAATAACTTCCATACCAAACTGCTGCATTTGCTGTGCAGCAGCAAGACCAGCTATACCAGCTCCAATCACAATGACTTTACCATGTTTCACTGATGGCAATGGCTGCAACACACAGAACAACATGATAAAGAGTCAGTACAGAGATATCCCTTCATTTCTAATCTATTACAATTTTCCTTACTTTCAAACGTTTAAAAATGCCAAAATTTATAAGACCATGTCTTTCCAGGTAACTATGGACACGCATAACTAGAGGGGCATCGCTGTTGTAAGGTGCTTCTACTAGGGGCAGAGCATTTTCGTACAACAGTTGCTGTTTAGGATTATCTAGCCACAGCTGGAGCTGAAATCACAAAAACCAATATGAATGGATGTAGTGGAGGTGGATGACAATTACAAATCAGAAAATATGGTCATCACATAACTGGGCATCATCAAATAAGTACTTACTAAGCGATTTCTCACATGCAAGAAGACCTTCTGAGTCTGTGGAAGACCTCCAGCAACATCTGGAAAACATGCTGCCTCTGTTGATGTCATCTTATCAAATGGCAGGCGGCTTGAAAATGCAGCACCCTCTAAACCTTTAAATAAATAATGCAAAATTAAGATCATCATTTAATTTAAATTAAAGGTCAACAGTACAATTGATTTCAAGTCATAAATTACAAAGGTACCTGGCAATGAAATGCCTGAGGGGTCATCTTGTTCAGAGTCCTGCTCTCCCTCATCATCCTTCTCAGATTTCACAGAGTTCATAGCACTTGCAGAATCTGGATCCTTTTTTAGCAAATCTACTTTGCTTTTATCCGATTTGTCGTGGCCAGCCAACTTTGAATCGTTATCCTCATGGTTCTGCGAGAGCACACAGGTCACATAATGAGAACAGGGCATATTTGGATTCTATATGTAGATTTAAATAGACAGTTATATGGTTTCATAGAAGAAGACTAAACAGAGAAACACTTAATTATCAAGTTGTCGTAATGTAATAGGTTACACTGACACCTGACGGGTATGAATTTCAATGGGCAACATTGACACCATTATCTGCCATTTAAACATACAAAAGAATTCAAATAGCCTAAACTATTTCTTTTACATAGGTGGTAAAACAAACACACCTTGCCCTTCTTTCTTCGACTGGTTCTTCTGTTGTCATCTTGCCCATCACCGGCATCACTCGCTCCACTATCGTTTGCGGAGCAAGGTCTCTTTCTGTCACTATCCCCAGCATCTAACGGATCATTCTCACGTTTCTCGGTTTTTGTTTGGCTGGAGTTCATTTTGAGCACAAACACTGTCCAAACAAAAGAAAAGGGCAATATTTCTCGCCAATCAATTAAAAGTTCAGCACTTTACAGAGTTGAATTTGAGTTGAGCCTGTTTGTTTACGGTCTGGCCGAAATTTTTCATTTTCAATTTTTCGGTATATCAAAATACCAACTGTCTGTAAATGTCAAACTGACAGTTTTTTGTATATCTATAAGTTTCCTCCACCCCCACCCAAACAAAGAATTACTTGGAAATTTTAAATAAATTGTTCTACTTTTTTGAAATCTTTTTTCGCTTTATATAGCATTTTGCAACTTCAAATTAGGTACAGGTAAACATTTTCTTGTGCCTACCCTGAAGTAGTTGTGGGTGCTCTCATTACAATCCATCCCTTTTGTCTGCTTTTGTCCCGAAGCTAGATTCTAATTCTTCCGGGAAAAGAAATAGAAATGCGTTTTCCTTTCTACTATTTTCAATTATTTTTCTTATAACGAATCAACTGAAGGACGAAAAGTGAGTTACAAGCAGACGAGAGCCGACCACGAACGACCAACACAATGCGTGTGGAAAACAAGAAGAAGAAGAAGAAGAAGAAGAACTTTATGCCACACTTCCGCTTCGGCCATTCTAGTTTCCCTTTTCGCCTTCGCCTTGTGTCTTCGGTGCACCTGGTATAATTTTACACATTCACCATGGGTCGTATGCACGCTCCTGGGTAAATATCGATCAAGTTTTTGAATATATCTTGGTTTGGGGGTTTGTGTGAAGTCTTCATCGTTAAAATTTTAATCACCCCACGCGCAACATAATTACTAGTGCGTGAAGCATTTGTTTATGCATGTCCACCGCGTGGCATCGACTTGTTCACTTAAGCCTTATTTGGATTCTGGTCCAGGGTAGTTTTCACGTTACACCAAATGCGAGTCCCGGCACAGAATTTTGATTGTTGTCACTTTAACGTCCTTGTTTGAGGCGTCTTCGGAAATGTAATAGTTTGTCCTACCGGCTAACCGCTCCTCCGGTAGGTTAGGTTTCTTGTGGTCGGAAATGATTTGTTCAAAGTTTGTTCGCTGATTTCGTTTCGTTCTAGTGACACCACTTGATGTTCGAACGTGTTCAATCAAGTGTCGTTTTTATCCTCTATTATTAACCTGCGTTAGTTTGAACCCTCTGTCATTGATCTAACTTGTTTTTGCGAGCGCTGACATTTTGCACAGCCAATAGATAGTGTTAATTGCCGATCTGTTCCACGTTCTGAGGTCTGATACAATGCCTTTTCATTTTCAGTAAGGGTATCTCCCAGAGTGCTCTGCCTTACCGTCGCACAGTTCCTACCTGGCTGAAACTTACCCCTGATGATGTGAAAGACCAGATTCAGAAGCTGGCCAAGAAGGGTCTCACCCCCTCACAGATTGGTAAGTTTTGTGCGTGTCCTGTCATGCTTAATTAACTCACCTGTATTTTAACACCGAATTCTGATGTGCAGGTGTTATCCTCCGAGATTCACATGGTGTTGCTCAGGTTCGATTTGTAACTGGCAGCAAGATCCTCAGAATTATGAAAGCTATGGGAACTGCCCCTGACCTGAGAGAGGACCTGTACTACCTCATTAAGAAGGCCGTTGCCATCAGGAAGCATCTTGAGAGGAACAGGCAAGTTATTGGTTTGGTTTGGTTTCTGTACTCCTCACTTGTTCATAGCATGTGTCTAATTTTGTATTTGGGCTTTCAGGAAGGACAAGGACTCCAAATTCCGTCTCATTCTGGTTGAATCAAGGATACACAGACTTGCAAGGTATTACAAGAAGAAGGGTGTCCTTCCTCCCAACTGGAAGTATGAATCAACTACCGCTTCGGCACTTGTTGCGTAGTTGGGTTCTTTATTCTACTGTATTTTTTTTACAACTGTTGAATAAAGCTTCCCAGTCAAATTTTGTTTTCTATGACTTCTCTCAATTCCACTGATTCCTGCTCTTGGGTTGCCCATTTGATGGCTACAAGAATGGAGTTTTAGTCCTCTACATGTGTCAACTGTGACCTAAAATTGTAATTGGCAACAGCTTGCAGATTTCTGGATCACATTTAATCTTCAGTAATTTCTGCCTTAAGAATCAAACATATATTTACTTTTTTCAAAGTATCTTTTATGCAGTTTTTTGTTTTCTTAAATTTAATTGCTCTGAAATGTTCCTAAATGCTTTTTGGGAAATCCAGTTACTGAACAAAAACTGCTTTAAAGTGGACTCGTCAGATTTCGAGTTGTAGAAACATTCTTATTAAACCTTTTATGCCATAAAGGTAATTTCATGACCTTTAAATGGAGCATTAATAAGATCCTGGATTACAGTACACGCTGTAGTTAAAATAAAACTTATATTACATATTTGTGGGTTTCGAGGATATGCAACATACTTTTGGAATCTTTTGTTGGTCAGCTCCTGAGGCATCCGAGCTGAGGCACAATTTCGTTTTACGATTGAATTTTCCATGACTGTCCTCTGTAAATCGCAATTGGGTGGATAGTTCTATTGATGAAAGAATGATACCTCCACCTTATTCCCACATGGTAGCAGTTTGACGTAACTACCTCAGACATTCTAGAGATATGAATGCTGTATTTGTTTTAATTTTTATAACATGGTTAGATGTTCTTAAATCCTTGCTGTCTTCAACAAATGCTCATGTATGTTTAGGCAAAAGGTAATTTTAAAAAAATGGATCCCTAAAATTTTTAAATGTATTAATTTCACTAATATGTAACAATTTATTTACATGAAACTTTCAATTTAAAATATTGGATACATTAATAACTAGATTGCTTATTCTACACTTTCTTCATCTTGATAATCTTTCCATGCCTCTTGCTGGACTTGCTGCCATTTAGCTACCATGTTAGAAACTCCTTTCTTCTTAAGTGTAAGACCTGGTGCCAATTTTGTCTAAGGTGAAGTAAACAAAAAAGTGTCAGTACATGTAGCAAAATTAATAATGACAAACAGTAGGCCATGAGATACCTTCTTTTTCTTCTTTGTTGAACTGTCAAAGGAATTTTCTTGAGTTAAAGTATGACTTTTCTGAAAAATCTGTGTTGATGCCTCAGGTTGATACTGTTTAGTAGATTCTTCAGAGTTAATAATGTTGGCTGGTACATTAGATACAGGGGGCGTTGATGACTTTGAAAGAGGTTGCTCTAAAGGTGTAGTATCCTGTGAACAGTTAAACAATTCAATGAACCCTTAACAGCATTTTATTAAGATGGAAATACTGACGATCCAAACAAAACCATTTGGCAACTTTAGTAACAATTGATTGAACATACAAATAATCTCACCTGAGATGTATCATCATCCACAGCATCTCTAGAGTTAGAGTCTAATGAGGCAATATCAGAATAGAAAGAGCTCAGCTCTGACATCAATGCTTCTTTCTTACGATGTGGCAAATGCACTTGCTGGTGAGTGGGTGGTGCAGGTCCACTGTAAGCTAATGGAGGTGCAGCAACACTCGTCACTGGCATTGGGCCTGCAGGTCCTGCATATACACCCATGTAACCCATGTAATCCACCTGAGGAAAATTTGTAAGTCATTAATTGCAAATAAAAAAAATCAAGTTGGTAGCATTAAAAGAATTCCCTTTAGTTTCAACAACTAAAATCCAAAACACTAAGTATGTAGTCGTGTTTAGGCAACATCACTTCTAAGGAAGGTTTTTGGTGAACTACAGCTAGGAACTAAACGTACAAGGTGACTTGAAAGACTTTTTTGAAAACTTACAGCGGTTGCATGATTGTACGATGCCAGCATGGCCTCGGTCGGGGGTGGCGCAACGTACGAGTTTGACACACCTACGCTTCCTGAGTAGGGAATGGCCATGGTGGGCACCCCGGACAGCACGGACACGCCGAGGACCGAACCTGGGTGGAGAGGGCCGACACTCTGCAACGGGTTGAGCGTCAGGTGGGGGCCCACTGCCATCTCCGCGGCCATGGACAGGGGTGTGGGGGGCATTGAGGGGCGGACGGGGACAAAAGGTATGTCAGGACTGTCGACGCCAGGCGGAAGCGGCTCACCGTGTTCGGCCATGCGGGGACGGGAGGTAGAGGGTGGAGGAGTCAAGGGTGGCGGAGTTCCTGGAGGAGGAGGTGGAGGAGGCGCGTCTGGAGGGGGCGGGGGTGGCGACGAGGGCAGAGGGGGTTGCGGGGCTGCAGGCAGAGGGGGCTGGCTGGCAGGGCACGGTGGCGACAAGTGCCTCTCCACAGCCTCATTTACATTGGTCTCGGCTGAAACACACAAATGACCTGAGGTATGAGGACCATGAATCTCAACTATACTAAGTCTAAAACTGGCTACCATGTTCGGTCATCCTTCAACTTACTTTCATCAGTCTTGGGTTTCTTCAAAGGTGGAGGTTTTAAAGGAGGACTGGGTGGTCGTGATTCTATAAGACAGTCGGTTTCCTCCTCAGGTGGAGGAGTTGTACACAGCTCCATTGCATCCTCATCATCAGGGGGTGGGGTTGCCACTCTCAGCAAAGGCTTAGATGTATCCTCCAGTTTTTCAGTCTTCTCCAGGTCATCTCCAGGCAAAACAGGATAATCCCACTGGGTGTCTTTCGTGGCCAGGTTGCAGTAAAAATACCGCTTGTACTCCCTGCACATCCACCCATAGGCAGATAGACAGAAAAACAACAGGGCTATTGGAACAGGTGGTAACATCAGACATAACCACAAGCACATGTAAAATGTGCAGATGTTAAAATTATAAACTCCTATGTTAGTTTGTACATATAGCAGAAATATTTTGATAGTTTATATAGATAATGGTTCAATATACCACATGATCGAGTTTGAACAGGTCACAAACAAAACCATCTATCACACCAAGCATTAGAAACAATAACATATCTGCTTAAAAGTAAAATTGCTAGTGATGAAGATTAATTGAAAGGTAAACAGAAATACAGTCCTAAAACTCCTGAATTTCGATATTTTGATTTTTCTTGGATAGGATAAGAAACTGAATTGAAAAATTTTGGTGGGAAACTCATTAGATGAAAAAAGGGAGGAACTAGAGTTTGTTAACACGCTATCAAAGTGATGCCCAGATTAATCTTTACAAGATTTGATTTAGTATATGGAATAGATCTGATAGAGCCTTAGACTGCGTGTTACCCAAAGAATATAATTTTTAAAAAAATGTTCTTCATACCAAAGTAATATTTTGCAAAGAATTTTTTTTTTTTAACATAAGTTAATTTTGCAGACTAACTGATAGTTCATGATTCTTCAACTTAAACAAGGCTTATAAAGACTGTTAACTCTCCAAAAATCTCAGACAACAAAAAAATTATGGGAATGTAGTAAAATTCTAAACTAATGCTTTTCCAGGACTTCAAGTGAACCTTCGCTTTACAAGATTTCTCATGTCCAAGAATTTGGATCATTACTATATCTCAGTTTTGCAAAGGACTCACAACACACTCAAAATAGAAAGATATTCAGATGAAAGCGCCGACAAGCAAGAAAGTGCTGACTGGTGAAGTTTCAACACACAGCACAGCCTAGGAGGTCGCTGCCTCATGTTGCACCTGTTTAACAGATCAAAGCATAAATCTCGAAATGACACATTTGAAAACCTTAAAAGAATCATTGAAAAAATAAAATTATTTCAAAGCCACCATCATCATTATATAGAGGTACTTTCAAGAATAGATAGATAATGGTTACAGACATTACATCTTCTACTACGCATTTGCATTGTTTCTTACCAAATTTGTAAAAGTCAATGCAGCCCACTGGTAGAACAAATGCGTAGTTCTATACTTCAGTTGATGCATAAGTTGAAATTTTCAAACTTCAATTATAAATGGTAATGTTTAATTTGACTCGTTTGTCACTTCATATATACTTCTAAACAGTACTAAGTGTTTAGTTTCAATGCATTTTAAATGGTGCACACATACTTTTAAACCCTAACAAAATGTATTATTATGCAAAAAATCCCAACTTACACACAGTGTATAAAAACTTCACATTTGTTATACCACTGAAGGCAGATTTACGATCGCAACGCAGCGAGCGTATCTTTATCGCTAGCCTTGGATTAACGCTGGGGAAGTGGTCAGAACAGGGTGAGGGAAGAGGAAATTCCAAGCCTTGCAAAGTGGCGATTGTAAATCCCCCGTACCACTTAAGTTATGACATACAAAATAGTTGAAATGACTTTATACAACAATACCTACAATACTCAGGAAGTAGGATGACAATATAAAGTCAAGACCATGGATTTTTTTTTAAATTGGAAAAAAAAATGGCGGTTAAACTTTGGGCATTAAAAATGGTAAGTCATAAACTTTTATGGCTGATAAACACAAATTTCACATAATATTCACAACATCTTATTCAAGTCGACTCAAGTTGGGGAATGAGTCAGTCCTCCCTTAATACTGTTTGGTACATATTATATTAGATTTTACTAGCCTAGATGTAAAATACAGAAGTAGTAGTAGTAGCTGTTTTTGTTTGTTTTGTGATATTGTTGTTCTTGGAAGACTCTTGGCATTAGAACACTGAAAGGCCATAGACAGTACATTTGCAGATTTAGATAAGTGATAATATAACACAGAACTTGTATTAGCAGTCATCTCTTCCAAAATGACAAAAAGGAGATAAAAAAAAATCAGCATTTTCTTCTTAAGTTGATGAAGATTTTAAAAAAGATGTAGGGTTTTTCAGTGTTTTCCTGGCAAGCAAAGCTGTACTGAGCAAAGAGGCACTAGCATCAAATATCATTAATTGTTGCCATGTTGATAGAAGTAGGCTGACAAAACTTAGTGATCATTTAAAAGAAAGCAGTAAGGCACATAAATTTACTGTGGTAATATGGTAGTACTGACTTTGAGTACAATTTTACAATTGACCAAGGATTATAAATAAACTTTGATGCTTAGATGACCTCTACGCCCGAGCAATGCCACATACTATACTCACAGCCACTGGTCAAGAGGCAGACTGCATTTCACTTCGGATGTAGAAGACTCTTCTGATCGGTAGGATCCAGAAGTGATCTTGACGGGCTCCCAAAAGTTACCTTCTCACTCTGACAGGAGGACTAGCAGGATGTGAGGGAGACACTAGCGCTGGTTGGTTGGGTTAATGGCACAGAAATGTTCAGGTGACAGCAATATCGTACCTATCCCATTGCACGGCCCAGCCTTGTGGTGCAGCAGCACGTTCCAACTGGACCAGTTCAGCCCCCGTGCTCTGCAGCCAGCGTTGAAGAAAGGAATCAGTAAGTGCTCCTGCATTCCAAGCAGACACCAAAGTCTGAAAAGCATTGTAAAGAAGTCACTAAAACACAGTATTTGGGAAATTTAATGCAAGCAAATTGGAAAAGAAAAAAATACGACAGCTACAACAAACCTCAATCTGAATAGCCATTGCTTGCACGGGGGACACTGGTTCCTTGCCCTCACTGAGAAACTGGAGCTTAGCTTTCACAAGTTGTGCCAAAGATGATAATCCGCTATGAAGTTCCCCATCTTCACAAGGTTTAATAGTTGCAGCTGTTTATAGAAATAAAGGTGGGATTAGATTGTTTAAATATGACTACCAGGAAGAAGTGATCTGGAAAACATGGCATTTGCGGTACGGTGTCCCATTCAAGGTGGGACTTTTCCGCCACTAGTTTGTTCCATTCTCTCGCTGCATGTGGTTAACCTGTGTGACAGGTTGGCTCATCTCTCTTAGCTCTCCGCTGCATGTTGTAGCACCGAGAGTCCAAAAAGAGAGCCCAGTAGTCTACAGCTATGCAATATGAATACAAATAAGTGGCGGAAAAAAAAAAAAAAAAAAAAAAAAACTTCAATGGAGACACCCTGTATTTCATACCTATGAAACAAAAAAAATTACCTCCATTGTCAGCTTCTTTTTCACCATCCCTCACATTCCCACTTTCTTCCTGTTGTATGCTAATTGTCTCTGCCTTAATGAATTGAATTTTTCCTTTCTTAGGTTTGCTTTGTTGAGATGCTTCTTCTTCAGCAGATGGGAAGCCAAAGCCACGTCTATCATTAGCAGTGGGATCACTTGCATATGTAGAACTGTTTGACCATAGAGTTGTGTAACTTGTTGACCCTTCATTATTTCCCTTCATTTTAGACGGCTCTTCAGAGACTTCAATTGTATTGCTGTTAAGTTTGGGCTGGACATGCACCGGGCCAATATCAAGACGTTTTTTGCGCTTTAGAACAAGGCTCTGATCAACAACGAGTTGTGGTTTCGAGGAGCCTTCTAAAGTTGCTTTGAAGGCAGATATGGAATCTGACCCCACTTCTTTCCCTTGAGGTTTGCTAGCTTCATCTTCCTTAGGATTTTCTTCCAAGCTTACAATAGGAAACAAAGCTTTTTCTTTTACTTGAGGCTTATCTTTGGCATCGGTTGAGGAATCAGAGTCCATTGTTTCTTCTGGATCTGAATCATCACCATAACCAGCAATCAAGGCAAAAGATGTTGGTTTCTTGCCTTGATTTTCAGCTTTATCACTGCCATTAGCTAAATTTTCAGACTGAATTTTTTGCAAAGCCTTCTGAACCCTCTCTTCTGCTGCTTGCAAGGTAGACAACAATTTACCATCTTGTTTGTGATCTGGTGGTTGCTCCATTTCTATCATAGCAATAATACTGTCAGCTGTCACTGCCGCTGACATAGGAGACTTTGATGCCGAGGTAAGGAGATCTCGAATATCATTGGGAACATTACCACCTAGATCCTTGAGTAGTTTTACTTGTCTCTGTAAACTATTGAGAACAGATTTCTCTGAAGAAGAATCTCTTAAACTACCGCTATCTCCTAATCTAGTTTTAGAACTATTGGGGTTGGGGCTGCCACTTCTACTTCTGTCAAGTGATTTCCTTATTGGAACTCTCTCTCTTGTGCCAACAATCACATCAGACTCTGTTTTAAGTCTTCTTAGCTTTTGAATAACAACTTTGGATTCAACCTCCTCTTCTATGGACCCATTTCGACTTCGTCGTTTTGATTTACTAGATAAGTTATATTCTGGTAAAGGAGCAGGAAGCTGAGGGCCAAATATAACTGGTGGAGGTGCCGGTTTCGATGGTTTGGCGGGCTTTCGGTTACTAGAGGATAGATTTGGAAGGGACTGAGCACATTTCATGGAGCTGCCTTTACTAATTTTCTTGTCATCATTTGCTAGGTTTGTACTGTTTTTGAGCTCATCTTCTTCTTCACTCTCTTCATCAACCCATGACGTTATCATCTCAATTTTTCTGCAGACACATGAAAAAGTAAATGATGGTAGTGTTGAAGAGAAATAAAATGTAACAGTTTAATGGGCAATTAACTCTGTAACTTACTCATCATCGGATTCACTTGCTGGTCGTTTCTTGGGTCCACGCTTACGTTGCTTTCCCAAATGCAGAGATACAGGCACTATAGTGCTCTTGGGAATACTCTTTAAACTAGGTGCAGCAGCTACCAAAAAAAAAAAAAAGGTTTTGATTGCCAATAAAATATTTTTTACCTGGAATTAAGCAAGTAAAAAACCTTTCCCTTACGTGGAATTTTTTTTGGCGAAGAGGGATATTCTGGCGTGAGACCGAGGGCAGCCTGCTCAACAGCCCATTGCGCTTGCTGGGCCTGAGCCTTCTCTTTAGCTTGAGTTTGAGCAAGCTTTGCCGCTACAGCTGCCTGGTAAGCAACCAACTCAGGAGGAGGTTCCCACGTTACTTCATTTGTGTTCATATTCCAATAATACGGATATCCTGTACTTTCATCATAAATTTCCTGCCAAGCTACGGAGAACATAATACAAATAAGCGCAATAAATCATCAGATGTTCAACAATTTTCAAAGCAGACACTCACCACATGAGATGACACTGGCATCTTCATTTGTTTTGGATTCAACCTCCTATATTAAAAAAGTAAGGTTTTCAAGGCATCAATAAGAATAAATGAAAAAAAATACCAATGGACACTTCAGGTGCCTTGTAAAAATTTCACTTGAAAACATTCTGAAAATGTTTATTTAAAATCCCAGCAAATGGCCTTACCTTCATAAATTCTTTAACTTTGGCATCAAGAGAGCTTTTAGTTTTGGAATTTTCATCATCATCATCATCAGAATCGGAAGCATATCCACCAACTAATTTTGACAATGGATTGGAAGAAGCGTTGCTGACACCATTGTGGTACTTGTCTAAAATCATTTACATTATCTTTAGACCCAAACAAGTGGTTGGCATTATGTAAAAATAGAGCAATCAAACAACATACTTGTCCAGGCTGATGTATTGTCAATGTCAAGTACTTGTTTGCGAGTTGCGCCTTCTCGTCGTTTCATCGTGGAGTAGATTCCGAAACGTATTCACAGCTAGAAACACAAACAACATCGGTTCAGGGTGGTGAAACTTAGGTTAAGTGAATAGTGGACGAAAAGATCGTCGTTAAAACGATAAAGCATGATGACTTTGGCATTACTAAAATAAGTTAGATGCTGATAGTAGACAGGAAGGGAAAGATACATTAGAAAATTCAAATATAAGAGCTAAAAGAGCAATTGGCTTCACCTTACAAATGTTCACTAGTAGTAGTTCGGAAGAGTATTCAAGGTGGTAAGAAACCGACCATGAAGAAAATGATGAAAAGTGCGAGCAGATTTAAATGCAGCAATACATTCTACAGAATATAAAATAGGAACACATTCTGAAAAAACTCGCGCGCTAGACATTTTACCATTTCACATCGTATTGCACATATTACGGTGGGCCATACTGTGTTTTTGTTCTTGTTGAAAACATACAGGCATACGGGAGGAATTGTGTTTGTGTCTGGGTGTTGTTTTGTGTTGTGTGTGTGTGTGTGTGTTTGTGTTTGTGTTTGTGTGTGTGTGTCTTATGTTTACGTCGCCAGTGTCAGTAATTCAAGTGGCGAAAACGCGAAAAATATGGATTTAGAAAAGGACACACACAGCTTACCCGATGGTCCTAAAGATCTTTGCTTCAGCAAATATGATTTCATGAAGGTATTGTAAAATGTTGACCTTAAAAAACCCAAATATCTATGAAAATATCATTTCTAACCCTTCTTGTGCTCATTGCTGTCATCATGATACTATGTTTCTAATAGATCAAGCGCACTTTTTCGTTTCTTCTAAACCCTATGCATTTGTTTATAAATTATTCTACGTTTTTCATTTTTATCAATATTAGGTCAGACTTGGTTTGGAGGACACTGACAGCTTGAGGAAATAGTGCAGTAGTTCGTTTAGTTACTCTAGTTACTCATAGCGTCTGTGTCATGTATTTGAAGACTTTTATGTTAAATCCCTCAGAGCATAACTTCAATTATTTCATTCATGTTTCACTTTTTCTGTTTGGCAGACACCCTTTTCTGTTGATGAGTTTCTTCAGAACCAAAGAAAAAATGCAAATCTTGAAACAATGCGTGATGATTTGGGAGTATATCTCAAAGTCTTGAGATCCTCTATGATCGAATTAATCAACAAAGATTATGCAGATTTTGTTAACTTGTCCAGTAACCTTATTGGCTTGGACAAAGCCATCACTAGAATTCAAGTTCCACTTGGTCAACTAAAGGAAGAAGTCTGGGTAAGGGATTGGAAAAGAACCTCGTACCATGTAACCAAGACAGGTTTTCCTTTTTTTTTACCCTTTTTTAAAAAAAAATTACGAGATGCTGATTAAGTGAGAGTAAAGTTATCTGTGACAATGTGATGATTCAATTTGTATTGTTTTGTTTTTTTAAGCAAGTGAAATCAAATCTTGATGAAGCAATTGCAGAAGTATCAGCATGTCTTGAAAAACAGAGATTTCTACAGAAAACTAAAAGAAGTCTCCATAGCCTTAGCTATGTTCAGCAATCACTTCTCAATCTCAGTTCACTTTTGAATCTCCCATCAAGGGATTCTAAGTCTCCTGATTTAGGTATAGCCTTTAGTTTCTAGATGTATTTATTTAGTTTTTATCTATTCTTTGTCTTTGATATAAGTACTTCAGTGAGATCATCTTCTCTCTTTGTTCAAGATAATGATGGAAAGGAACAATTGATACAGAAGAAAGCAGATGATTTACCAGGGGCAGATCTAGTGGAGAGAGTTGCATCTGAGTTGAACCAGTTGCATTTTCAAATGAGCCATTGCAAAAATATAGTGTCTGAAGAGTCAACAGAAGTAAGAAACGTCAATTCAAGAAACAATATTTAGAGTTTTACTTTAAAAAAATGATTTACTTTGTATTTTAATTTCTATTGTACATCTATTTAGCGCTTATCCTTGATAAAGTCTGTATTGATGAAAGGATTAGATAAGCTATTTCTACAGAGTATACAGAAATCGGATGTCACAACAATCAAGCGAAGTCTTTGTGTTTATGAAAGCCTGGGGAAAGAAAGAGAAGCAGAAGATTTGTTTCGAAAGCAGGTTGTGGCAAAGGGATTGCATCATGTTATAAGTGAAACATCACTGCAGTCCAATCCAACAGGACTAAAGGTAGTTTATTTCAGTTACAGAACAAATAATGTATGATAAAATCTTTGTTTCCCAAAATTGTTTTTATATTTTTCCACAGGGAGTTTATAGAGAAATTTTGAATTTTATTGACAATAATATGAAAGATTTGCTAGAATTCACTTCACACAAAGAAAGGTATGACAGCTGTTTTATTATATCAATCTATACGTGGTCTTTCTAATCAAAAACTAAACTAGTTTTCTTATTTTAAATTTTATTATAATTGGGTCCTGCTTCCTACAGGCCTCCTGCTGTTTCAGGATTCTATTTCCTGGTAAATAGTTACTGGCCTGAAGTTGAACTGCGCCTGGAGCTTCACATGCCATCGATATTTGCACCTGGCAACCCTGACAGTTTCTTCCAGGTGAAACATATAAATTTCTTTGATACGTCACTGTGATATTTACATTACATCAAACTACAATTACCTTTCTTTCAGAACTTCTCAGAAACTCAAGCTTTTCTCACTGAGCTTGAACAGAAATGTGGTTCACAGGCCGATGTAAGACGACTGCATCAGCATCCTCAGTACATTTCCTTTCTTCAGCTTTGGAATCTACCAGTTTATTTTCAAATACGGTTTCAAGAAATAGGGGGCAGTTTGGAAACAGCTATCTTTCAGTGGCCCAAAAACATCAATTCCAATAATGGCCAATTTAAGCTTACTGCAACAGTAGCTGCATGGTCTGCTGCTCAAATGTGCTGGAACCCGAATATATTTCTGCATCAGTTAACCCATAGGTTGGTTCAGCCATCTTTCCTTGATTGATAATTTTTAATTTATTTTTTATTTGTGCATGTACTATCAGGGCTACTACACAACAGTATGAGTTTTGCCTACCCTAGGTAGGGACCATGGTGCCTTACAGGTGGAGCAAGTAGACTAACCCACCTACTGTTGTGTCTTATCCCTGACACATGGCACATTCTACTTGGTTTTTTATTTTTGTAATAGTTTGTTTGTTGTTATTTGTTGTTTTGTTTTGTTTGTTTCCAATTTTGTTTTGCTTTCTTAGGTTCTGGAAACTCACCCTGCAAATATTTGCAAGGTATTATTCATGGACTGGGGAAGCTTTGCGTGAGGTACAGCACTACTTATTAAACTCTTATTTTCTTCATCAAAACCTTCACAAAGTAATCTATCTTAGTTGTTTACACCCCTTTTAGAAGTGGACTGCTGAAAATGGAGTTACTCGATTGTCATTTCTGGTTTGGTTATTCTGTGACATTAAGTTGATTGCTGGTCACATGCCAGAAATGATAGATGTGGTATCTAACAGACTGGAAAACTCAACAAAGTTAAATATGGATCACTTTAAAGGTATGAGTCTTATTCAGTAATTGTGTCTTATTTTTGCCCACGAATTACAACTTGTGAAGTAAGCAACATTACTTGAAGTGCTTGCCTTTCTTCCAGTTAGTCTTCAGGAGACATCAGATCAGCTATTGTCTAGACTACCAGCTGTCACAGAGCGTATTGTATCTGAGGTAACTGGTGTCAGTGGCCCATCATTACGCCAAGTCAATGATATTCCAAGACTCTTTCGTCGCACAAATCGTGATATTCCAAACAAACCTTGTTCATATGTCAACATACTACTAGCTCCTCTTCTTGACTTCTTCCATACCTATGAGAATATTGTCAGTTCCGTTCAACTTAAAGAATGGCTTACTCTTATCTGCTCCTCCATTACTTGCCAGTAAGTTACAGATCACAAAACATATGTTCTGTCATCAGTAGTTGTCTCCTCAATTTAGTTGGTGCAAAAGTTCAGTCCTCTTTATTTAAATTTCATCACTTATTAAATCTTTTTCCCACTTTTGACTAGATACTACATTTGTGTGTCTGATGTTCTTACCTCAGTTCAAAAAACTGAGGAAAGTTTAAGACGTTTGAAGAAAATGAGGGAACGTAATACACAAGCTGCATTAGGAGAAGGCCGTGGACATACTGATGATGACAAGATAAGAATGCAGCTTGCTATTGATGTTAATAGCTTTACTGCAGAGGTTTGTATTTAGAAATATCGTTTTCTCCTTCATTTGTAGTTTTTATTACAATTTTTGTTATGCCCACAGATAGAAAAGCTTGGAGTGGAGCGCAATAATGTGGAGAGACTCATAGATCTCACAGCTTTAGTTCAAAATGCTATACAGTTCCAGTCGCAGACTCAAAGCTGATTATTGAACAGGAAAAGAAATTACAAAATTGTTTTTTTCCTGATCCAGTATTTTCCTATGTATCATCACCAGTAGTTGAGTAATATTTGTACTAATTTAATGTAGGTATTTATACTGTTGTTTTCTTTCCAAAAGCTGTGGTATCTGTACAAAATCATAAAAAGTAAGTATCTGAAGACCAGAATTGATACCATTTTCATTTAATATGTTTGTTTTAACTTTTATGCAAGGAGAAATAAATTTCTTTGGGGATCTACGTGTTACCATGCTAAAGGTGTTTATTGTACGTACCTTGACTCAAAATAATTTTCTTATCAGCTTTGTACTTGCCCCATCGCTTAAAGAACAAAAACTGTGGATGGGTCATAAAACTCCCTGCCACAATCACCCTACTCAGCTGTACAACTTCTTTGGAAACAAACAGCAAATGCAAAATTTGCCCCTGGCATTGAGAAAATAATATGACTGAGCTTTTGTGTTTCTAAAGTGATATAAACTGGACAACAATTCCATTAGCTAGTCTTCAGGTGATTGAACAGGCTAAGAACTAAGTGTGGATAAGTATTAACAGGAGAGGGTGTAATACCATATTGTAAGTAAGTATATTCCAACAATAGTTGCTTGCATCATAATACACCCACATATTTGAACATCCAGATCCTAGTGTCAGTTTTCTCAAAGTTGAATGTAAGGTTTAAAAACAGGCGCAACAGCATTTTCAAGGGATCAAGAAAATTAACAGGGCACAAGAAACAAGAGACATGTAACTTGAACACTTTAAACACATCCATTCTAACGCTTTCAAGGTATTTGTTTTTCCATCTTAATTAGAAAAAAGAAACACTCCAATTATTTTCAAGACTTTGTGTATGTACTTCATATTGAGTGATAAGAAATTGTGAAAATTATAGATCACCTCCGGTTCCATGTTATTCCAAATGGGAACTGATACATTGAGATTCACATATCATCAATACCAATGAACACAGGGTTTGGTAACGGAAAGGAAATTACTTCTCCTATGTACGAAACCAAGTTGAAATATGAGAGTAAAGCTATATCCTTTTGGATAAATTAAGCCACAGGGACATTTTTCTGTAAGTTGGTAGATGAACTCATACTTTAGCATGAAAGAAATAAACTTGAGTTTAAAATTATGAAGATGGATGTCGAAGCCCAAAATGAAACAGGACCGTAGAGTACGCGGTACAAGACAATACGGCGTTCAAAATGGAAAAATTATTTTTAACTGCCACCCAAACCAACTCTCTCCCAGAGCCTTTGATCCGGGAATGTTATTGACCAGAGTCTCTAAAATCAGTCTGAAACTCTCAAAATAAACTTGGATATTGTGTTTTATTCTATTTCTTTGTATCAATAAGTTCATTTAGTACTTACAATTTGGTGGAAAAGGCGCAGTCAATGACACGAATTAAATATGAAGTAACAGGACACTTTCAAAAACTACCTTTACAGTACTGATGTGAGAGCATATTACATACTGGCAAACATAGATAGATGGAACTATGGAACAATCATATCTAATACTTGGGTTAGACTCCAAAGAGACAGAAAATGACAGCCGGTATTAACAGTTGTTTTTATGTTATAATAAAAAAATATAGATATTCTTTTTAAATACAAGCTTCCATATTTCCTCCACAGGTATAATTAACAGGTGCCCATGGTGATCATGTAATACTAAAATTTGTAAATAAAGAGTTGAGAGTTCTGTGGTTGAGTTAGATTAAAAAAACAACAAAAGAACATGCAAAGCCCTACAGAATGACAGACACAATATTTAATTGATATTGTTATCTTCACCTAGAAACAATGCAGCAAGATTTGACTCTCAACAGGATGTATGAAAATACAAACAATGCTAAATCTAGCTGTGCATGTCCAATCAATACCTAATAAATAACAGTTCTAAAATTGACAGGCCTAGTTCAGTCTAGATAACCATAACAATCAGGGGAATGGTACTAGTAAAAAATGTTGAGAAAATGAATTAAAAATTACAGATTTCAGAGTACAAAGCAATGTTCAGATTCAAACAAATGTTTCAAAGCTCCAAGATTATGCTTAAATTTTTACCTTTGAACCGGGTAGAAAAGAAATAATGAGCAAAAATGGCCTATCACAAAATCAGATTGCTGCGTGACTTCTGGAAAATAATGTAGTATCAAAGGGGAAAACATCATGTAAAACAAGTAATTGGCACCTTGCAAAAAACTAAAGATATTCCAACAAAATTAACCAAATATGTAAAAAAGCAATGGAGGAAATGCAGCTCTTCATGTGCCAGTTCTGTTATGCAGTTGCAGAGAGTTATCTATTTTCAAATGCTGTATTAATTTGGTATTTGGTGATTTCTTTACCGATTTCTCTGTGATTATACACACATTCTTAGTTTATAGCAGGTAGTTAGAGAAGAGTAAGGTAAAACATTGGTTGGTGTTTGCTCACTCACAAACACAACCACAGCACCTTCTTCACCACACACAGAACAAATGGAGCAATACAATGATATGTATAATTGTCTATAAGTGTTACTACAAATTGCATACACAGCACATAAAGAACTAAAAACCTCTCTGTTTTCACCCAGTGACTGTTACAACAGGTAAATACCCAGTTGAATGAATACATAAGCATACAATATTGAATAGAACAATTCATTTGGACATGCAATAAAAATGCCCAGGAATGTGTTGACGCACTAATTCATTGTGCTGGGCATCACGCATCCCTAGTGGTTTGCACATGATTTTCAGTCCTAACACCAATGCATTGACATAAAAATACACCTCCTTTAATCATATAAAACAATTAACATAGCATACTTATAATTTAATACTTGTACATACATAGTGTATATATATTTATATACATATTAATATATAGATGCATCTTTGTGGCTGGATGTACAATAAATCTATAAATATAATCAAAGAAATAATATTAGTAAATAACAGCATGGACCGAAACAATGTTCCAAATAACATAGTATTGGTACAATATTTCGTTCGTTTCAATTAGAGATAACAAGGAGCACAAATCTGCAGAATTCTCAACAGTTCTGTGCAAGCTCGATGTAAAAATCAAGTTTACTAGGGTTCCTACTTTAGAGAACTGGTATAGTTATGCGTAAATTAACTAGATTACACTCACTGCCAGAGTGTAATGACTATCAGCCAGCTAATCTCCAACACTAAGAGGGCAAAATAGGTGTGATCACCATTACAAAAGTTCTAGAGCTTAATCAGAAAGCTTTCAACAGAATTGAAAACTTCAAACAAATAACCAAATCCATGATAGGGAAGATTCAGACTCAATGGTAACTGGAATACTAGTGCCTCAAGTGGAACTTCACACAAAACATTCAAATTATGTGTTCATTTTTATGCACTTTAATGCAATTAATTGAAAAAACATGCGAGTAGCTAATTTTAATTCATGATCTGTGTTTTCACTTCATAAATTGTAAGCTTGTGTCGAGTACAAGCAAGTACATGGCAGTCATTTTGCCATGTTTTTGATTGGTCTTTCAGATTCCTTCTAGATAGATAAAATACAACATCCAGGATAAATCCACTATTTTGAATGATTTACATCAGCAGATCAAGCAGTGCTTGGATCCAAAATTAAAAGTATGTAAATGATAAAATAATCAAATGTGCTTGATAAAATTTTAAAAGTTAAATTTAGGAATTAACATATTATACTCCAAATGAACTAAAACTTAGCACAAAAGTAACATATTTAGCCCGACACAATCACATTTCATATTCCATCATCAATTACTTGCTTTACCTTTAAAAGAAAATATCTAAATATAGTGAGCATTTCCATTAGAAAGGTTATCACAAAGTTTTGTGAGGAATACCGATCCCTTTTCTTTTTATAAAAGAAAAAAAGAACAAAGAGAAGAAATGAAAACAAGGTATGATCACAGAGTAAAAGTACTCTTACTCCATGATATGATTGCCTACCACTAAGTAGGTACTTGAAGAAAGTGGCATACCTCCTGAGAAAAGGGTGTCATCAGGTATGTTAATTGCCGGGAGGGGCAGCGTATCTTGATCTTGGGTCAGGATCACCATCACAAATGTACTTTCCTAAAACACATCAAAACACATGATCTAAATGAATATTATAATTCAAGGATTGTTTGTGGTTTCGGCCAAATTTAAACAATTATAAAAACATGATAAAGAACTTAACAACATACCAGACACAAATCTTCTCTTTACCAAAGACAGTCTATATCCAGAGCCCACAAGCTCCAGCTCTAGGCCAGAAAGTGTTGTTCCTTCACAGTTAAATTGAGTAGCAATTGTTCCTTGCTGACTTGGTCCGTTGCTCACTTCTAAGCGAGCCCTAAGTGAGCCAACACCATGATTTTCACTATGCTGAGACAGCTCAGTAAACTTCCAAATAACTCTGTGACTTTCTGCCAACCTAAAAAGAGAAATGAAAATAGATATCAGGGTATGATTGCGACCAACTCTTGAAATTAGATCAACTGAAATAAATTCATACCATTGGGCAGAAGGTTTCGACTGTAGCCCTGTGACACCCCCATCAACTGGTACAGCAACTGTGAGATTTAGCAGTGGAGAGGGTGCAGCCATTGCATGACTATTGTATTTGTAATCCACTTTCAAGTCCGTATGAGATTGCTCACATTTCCAGTATGCTACCAACTGGAATGGACACGAGCCTGCTCCAATCTTTGGTTTCACCTAAATAAAAAAATTGCTCCAATAATTTCTTAGTATCAAACACTTCAAATACTCAAATGAGAAACAATTAATTATACACCTCCAATAGATAAGTTAGCACATTACCTGGTATTTAAGAATATCCACATTAAAGTATGAAGCAGTGGGATTTTGCTCAGCTTGGCGGCGTAGAAGACCCGTCAGGGAACTCATATTAAACTCAAACACCATACAATCTGTATTTGACAGAGCTGTTTCGCTGTTAAAAATCGATTTGAATAATTATTTTAAAAGTAAATACACTTGAATCAAACTACAGTATTAGATTAAATCAGTTACAAAGAGAGAAGCTTACATATGAACCAGTTGCTTGTTAGGAAGGATATTTTCTATGCGTGCTGTATTTTTGATCCTGAAAGTTAACTGAGCAGGGTTTGGATTGTTAGCAAGAACAGCGACTATGCCCGCTGGAAAGGAAAGCATCATGTCTCCTGACATTTTCACCTGACACCTAAGAAAATTTGAGACAAATTGAAGACAATTGTAAGTCACAAACAAATGAATAAGAAATTTTGAAAAGAGATAAACAAAGAAGCTACAAAGGCGTACCTAGTTTCATCTGTACCACGAAAATAGGAGTGCACAATTTCATGGAAGGCAACTGCAAGTGGAATTGTATCTGTCATTCCAATTGTCAATGGCGAAGGCCCACGAGAAACTCCCAAAGCAACGCCAGCCGCTCTAAACTCTAAACTAGCAACACTGTCTGCCCGAGACATACTGAGAGCATTAGGGCCTGGACTGACTCTACCTCTCTGAGGGGGTCCCTGGAGGAGGAACAAAACAAGGTGTCAAGGATCACTGCAAAGTGAATAAAAAAGGGAAAGCAGCAAAAGTACTAGGGAACTGACTCTTATTTTCAAGCTTACCTCTCCACGCCTAGATGGGGGCCTTGGTATTGCTATCGAACTACCTGGAGTTGACGAACCACCTTGTCTTGATTGCTTTGGTGGAAGAGCAGGTTGTGTTTCAACATCAGCTAACAACTCTCCAAGGTCTAGAATCAGTAAAAGGGGAAATATTATGTCTTCCTTGTCTTACAACCAATTTAAAAACAAGAGGAGGTACTAGATTTTGCCAATACCAGCATATTTTGTTGACGGAGATGCTGCTGCAGGTGATGCAGAAGCTGGAGGTGGACTGGTTAAAGGTGCATAGGGATGGTTCCCACTTCCAGTTGGAGTTGATGCTGCAGATGTGGCAGGACTTTGAAAGAGATTCAGCCCCAGTAGATCACTACTTGGCTTGCTGATAGAAAAAAAGACACGTATAATAAAAATACAAACAATTAACAGTCCATCTTTCTATAATCAAATTATGAAAATACCCTAATTGCTGAGAGACGGATTGGGATCTTTTCATATGTATATCCGAGTCAACACCTGACCCTCTTCGTCCCATTGTAGCCCCAATCGGGGATATAGACAGATTTCCTACTGTTGCACGAAGCTCATCCACACTAGCACTCATGGGTGCAGCTCCATTACTTAGAGGTTTAATTTCAACATGTATCTTTCTTTCTCTTTCATCCTCTACAGAAAAAATTCAGGAGTCAGAAAATGGAACAGAGCAATGCAAATATACATGCTCCATCTACCTTTACATATTTTACCTGAGTCCGAATCAGAGCTAGAGTAAAATGAGCCTTTATCATTTTCCCATGTATCACTCTTTGGTCGTACATTGTAGCCCTCATCATCAACTTCAGGAGTTGGTGTTCCAGATTTGTCCTCACTGTCAATGTAGTTTCAAAATATGGGCTTAGTAAATTATTTAACAACAAACTAACATGAATTAATTTGGAAGAAAGAGAAATTGACTCACCCATCAGACTTCTGACTTGCATTGTCAGTGCTTCCATCTTTTTTCTTTTTAGCCTTTTTTTCTTTACGTTTGTCTCTCCTGCTTCTGAGAAACCCTGAAATTCAGACCAGAACATTTTGCAAGAGTGTGTGAATAAAATCTATGCAAAATAATTTTCCCAGAGTAACCAAAATATTGACAGGCAAATTTAAATACAATTCTAAAACAAGATATCTTGTGAGTGAAATGAAAGTTACAGCAATGTTACCATGTCAAGAGAGATAACCATGACAGACTAGGAAATATTATGTATTGAAAAGTAACCCATTTTCTGTGAAGTAACTTCTTAGGCAAAATCTTGAAATAGTAATTCCTTTGACAGCCTACATTAAGTATAAAAACTCAGATAGGCCTTCCTAGGAAGACAGACATACCACATACCGAAGAGCTCAATCGACTACATCACTCACAGTACTAAAAATACTGACAAAAACAGCATTAGGTGAAGAGCACAAGCTGTGAAAAAACATCAGCCGTCAACCTTTGTCATGCATGCTAGCAGGTCACAATATTAGGAAAAGATATTGATTAAATGAAATTAGGAAAATTACTAATATGTTACTTCCACAAGAAAAATAAAAAGAGAAAGCAAACATTAAGAGAGTAAAACTTCTGAGTGCAACTTTATGAACTATTGAAATGATTTTATAAGCAAAGAATGCAAACAACAACAGGCATAGGAGTTCCACTGCACGGGAGACTGGCTAAGGATCAGCTAAAAGCTGGAAGAACAAGTTGGGAAGGAATTTGATAAGCCTCATTTCAGTCTACCATGACAATTCTGCAATACTACAAATTATAATCCTTAGATTTTATTTTTTTGGTCCAATAAATTAGTTTTAACTTTTTAAATGAATGGAATAACTGTGCAAATTTTACAAGCATTAACACGATAAAATACAGTGAGGCATAAGATTTGACAAGAAAACATAAGAGGTCTGGCAAAGAACTTTAGAAGCACAGAACAAAACACATTTTAAGACCTGTCGTCCAGGATGAGAGGCTGGAGACCGGAGATCGATTTGCAGTAGGAGAGACTCCATCGCCTTTAACACGTTCATGAATGCAACCAGTCAACATTATAGAATATATATTGCTATGCACTTATGGTTTTTAATGCTTTCATTACAATGAAACTGAAACCATTACAAAGATCCATTTTAAAAAAGCTAGAAAACAAAAGGTCAAGATGAAGAGAGTCACGTTTAACAGATGTTAGATTAGACAAAAACATTGCGCAGCTAGAAAAAAAATAGACAACTTTTACATACGTACAAATAAAAACAAATTTCAATAGATTATTTTGAATTTTAAGTTATAATCTTACATAAGAAATTCAGAGAAGCAACTGTAATTCTACAATATATTTCCCCTCTAAAGAGGCTTGTGAAAGAAAATTAGTGTAAATTTCAGTATCCAATAACTTAACAAAATACCTGAAGAAAGACTGAACAATTACATTGACACAGTATACATTCAATCTAACAGGGTGGCCATGCAAGCAGAGTTTTCAACTTCCCTGACTTTTCCCTGACCTTTTTGCATGAATTCCCTGACTTTTGATGGTATTAATCAAGGAACTTTTTACCTCCCAAAAAAATGTAAAACGCCACCAACAGCAATTTGGAGCAAGATTAAGTCATTTCCCTAACTAATATTCAATATCCCTGAATTCTAGGTTGCATGGTCACCCTGTTTAAATAGTAAAACTACGCAACTATGCAACACTGACCTAAGAAACAATGAGAACAAGAAAACATAATCACTATGTGCAGAAATGAAATACAGGAACAATATTAAGGGTGCAACTGTGCTAATTTACCTCACAAACCAAAGCACCAGGCAACAAAGCAGGTAAACTACCCGACTAGGAGAGGATTGTGGAGGAGTGTAGGACATAAAGAAAAAACAGTGTAAAATGACTGAATAGATAGAAGAAAAATGATAGCTGTTAAACAAAACAAGCAGCAGTTCTGAAAAGAAAAATAGCCATAAAAACACAAACCAATCACGTTTGCTTAGGTCCTACCAGTATAAGCACATATAATAAGTCCCTAGCATGTTTATCTAACAAAGGGGTGCTGAGTAAAATGAGATAGGGCTAAAAAAAGCTTTTCTAAAAGTATTAAAATCTAACTGTCACTGTCTGATAGCAACTTTTGTAGAACATAATTAGTTCTGCAGTTGATATTTATCTGGGAAAAGGGACCTACAGTATCAAAGGAATAAAGGGAACACTTCATGCAAATTAAAGATGTACTGATGGTTACGTAGAAAAAAGACTTTACATAACAAACTGACACCCCATGCAAAAGTAACGAAATCTTTCTCCATCACCGATAGAGATACCTGTATGTAAGGACACAACTATCAACCAACAGAAGAATCCAAAAACAATATAGATTAGTGAAAGCAAATGATCAAAATAATAATTATTCCAAAACATTTAGATGATCTCTGCATCAACTGGTGCTGCCTAATGTGGAAGACCACACCCTTAAGAAGGGTTCATTGATGCTTTGACTGAACTGTAACAGCTTCTCGGTGAAAATTTTGAATTGGCATGCGAAAGCAAAAAAAATATTTAACTACAAAACGAAGGAATTGAGTTGAGAGCTCAAGGAGTATAGGATTACATTTTGATCCACGCAAAGGGTTGCGAGCGAGCGTGGTGGTGCCAGCGTCCGCACCGGGGCTGGTGGGAGCGGACGTGGGAGTGCCCACCTCGCCCGCCCCCTGCCCTGCCCCGGGCCCAGACCCGGCTCCACCCGGGCCCTCAGGATGGCCGCCGCTCTCCTTGCTGCCTGAAACACACAACGCACTGCATCGCCCCAGAGTACCACACAAAAGGCTGTTTGTGGCTGCTTCAAACAAGCTTCACCAGAGATCAACCCCATTGTTACCAACAGCTAATGGTCAAACATTTGATAGGTTAAATTTTGAGCAATTAAAAAATTGCTTTCTAGTAAAGGGTGGTACTTCAAAAGTTTTCAAAACTTATAAAATCATCCTGTCTAAATTATAATAGACCACCAAAAAACTAATCAAAGCTATTAAATGGAATTGCAAGAGATTAGTAGTATTCCACATTGTTGTTCTATTTATCCAGTTATTTACTCTAAGAGTATAGATAACACTTACAACCACAACTAAAAAATTAAGGGGTACTTTAAAATAAGAATGAACACCTGGCACATGTAAAAGCAAACTACATGGCAACATGACTTGACTATTTGGATCAACTTTGACACAAAATCTCAAAATGAGAGTTAAGATTGAAGTAAAGCAAGAGATAGACCCCATTATGAAACAGAACACAGCCATGAATTAACGAAACAAATTACACAATTAAAGAATACTTCACAAATTACAGACACACCACTTGAACATACCCTGAGAATTAGACATGAAGAGGTTCAGGAGGGAAGTAGTACGTCGGGAAGGTTTGGCCTGTGAGTTGCCCGGTGGTTGGCCTGGAGGCTGTCCAATATTATCCACATTACCTTCACGCTTCCAACCCTTATTGCTGTCCTCCTTACTGCTCATGTCCTTGTCAGAACCATCGGCCCCAGAATTCTTAAGTTGACTGCTTGATGAGGATGGAGTAGTGCTTAGAACATTCATATCTTCAAGGTTGACGACGTCTATAACACCTGAACGTCAAGGAAAATGTAATTATAATGTAGGTAAAGCGATAGTAGTCATAACAAACCTAAGTATCACCTGGTTTCTCAAGGCCAGTATATTTTCCCAAAACAAATTGCTCCAACAGTTTATCTACTGTCATTTCCAGGCATTGTCTCTTAAAATCTAAGTGGACCTACAATTTCAAAAAATAAAATAAAGTAAAAACAGCTTTTGATAAGTTTTAACTTACAGAAATCAACTCAACAAGACTTACCTGACCAATGAGCTCATGATTTTGCTGCAACAATTCAGCATAGGTGTACAGAAAATCTTTCATTTGAATTAGATGAGCTTCCTCAACATCTTGAAATTTCTGAAATAAAGAAAATTTTGAAGGGTTTCTCAAAATGCAAACAAAAATAGAAATTGAATTTGAGAAAAATTGGTAAACCTTGCAGGCTGTTATCATTTTTCTTTCAAATTCTTCTTTGATAACATGGTACTTTTCCACAAGGGTTTTATACTCTTCATGAGCTTTACGGAGTTTTGCTTCTGCCTTTTCTAAATCCCTTGGGGAGGCACTTTCTTTTCGAAGACGGTCCAGCTCCAGAGTTTTTTGCAAGTAAGCATCTTTAGCCTTTTGTAAGGTTAAGGTAGTGGCCTGAATTGCTTGAACTACTTCCAAAGTCCCTCCTTCTTCTTCTTTGACCTGAAGATTTGTTGAGCAAAGAAAGGAATATTGGCAAGAACTGAAAGATAAGTGCCATACATAGATGAAAATATGTTTACCTGTTTGTGCTTCTTTTGCAGCTCATCAGCATATTTAGTAACTTCTTTGACAAGTTCTGACACCTTTTGGACCATTTGAACATGAAGGTTCAGTAATTTTTCTGCAGAAGTACGTAGCACTTGCCAAACAGGAGCAAACGTTCCATTAATACAACCAGTTCCAGCTTGCTTGGCTAATTTTGCCAACATTTTGGAGTTATTTTCTTCAATCGATGATCTATGCACAGAAAATAAATTAAAGTGAAAGTGTGAGAATGATATTTAGGTAGGATACTATTGTAATTTATAGTCTCACCTCTCACGCAGAAACTCTGCAAATTCTTTGCTGGCAACAAGGCCATACTTCATATTGTGATAAAGAACGTCAAATCCGTTATTTTTCTCACCCTTGGAAAGAGAATAGATACATTAAAACAAAAATTATAATTAAAGAGCAAACTAGATTTCCTTTCTAATAAATTAATTGAAAAGAATCAGCACATAATTGATATCGAGAAACCTAAGTTTTTGGATAATGCTACCTGCATAGAACACAGAATTCAATAATACAATGCAAAATGGTAGGAAAGCCCAGGAGCTTCAGGAATAAAGAGCTTTCCAGCACTGTTCAAAGCCACCGCCCATTCAATTAGAAACAATTGGAATGTTCACCTTGCGAGACGGCCCCTAACCAAGCTTCAAATACTAACTGCTGTAGTAGCACATTAAAGAATACCAAACATGGTACAACGATATCCAAAATAGCATTAAATATACAAAACCTACGACCCAAAACAGATATAGAAACCCAAAACTAAACGTAAACAAGGTTTCGTTAACAGGTTGGGCTTACCCAAAAGTAATCACTGAAGTCAACCGTCATGGTGGTGTCAATCCCATAACACGTCCAAAAAAATCAGCAATTTTCTCCCCTTTCCATAAATGATCAAACTCTTTTATTATAATCATAAAACAATAATCTAGAGGTACTCGCAAAAAGAATTTTCACATCCCGTAACTCATAACTGCCCCTTGGCTGGCGACACCCAACTTCTGCGAGAACGACTGTATCGATTATGATACTCGATTGAAGTTGGTGCCAGGCTTGTGCTTGTTTTTCTTGAGGCAACGTCCCTTTAAACAAGGAAAGGGCAAGCTCGAAATTTTTTACGTTTTATTGCAGAGGATAATTTTTTGGAAAAAATGAAAGATAAGCAAACAAAAATGCAATGCAAAGCAGGGAACGGTGACCGAATCGTAGAATCGTTACCCTTCGATGGGTTGTTTGTGTTTCGATCCACGTAAATCGAATAGTGTATATCTTTCCTTGTCGCTCTCGCCGCTTTTCCGTAAGGTGCGAGAGAGAGGGGCCCCTACTCTTTCGCTGGGAAAACTCAACCGTCTACCGCATCCACGCATATCCCGCACATGGTGCCCGTGCAGTACATGGTATTTGTTGCCGTTTGATGTTATTTGGGTGTGTCACAAGTTTATTTTTTGTAAAGCAACAGCTCTCTAAACTCCCAGAACAATGCCGAAGTCAAAGAGAGACAAGAAAAGTGAGTAGTCTGGAAATTTAACAGGAATGCATCATTACCTCTAGGAACCTAACCTCTATACTATAACAGAACTATGTATCAGATAGCACGCTAAATTGTACATTTTAGCGTTATGTCATTTACCGAGTTCTACTTTGCCCATTAAACTAGCATTTTCCTAATTTCTATTTTTAAAAAAATAGCTGTCTGCATTTTACTCATTTTGCTTATATTTGTTTCTTTACTGCAGTATCTCTCACTAACACTGCCAAGAAAGGACTTCAGTTCAAGCAGCAATCAGTAGAAGAAGTTCGCAAATGTGTTGATAGCTACGAGAGAATATTTGTTTTCTCCGTAGAAAACATGCGTAATGGGAAGCTGAAAGATCTACGGGATGATTGGAAAAAAGACAGCAGGTAATGCAGTTATATCTTTTATTATATTGGTCCTGACTACACCCAAACCACAGTCTTACACTCTTCACGATTTTCAGATTCTTTTTTGGTAAAAATAAGGTAATGCAACTTGGCTTAGGAAAGTCAAAAGAAGATGAACCTCACTTAAATTTACATAGGTTATCAAAGCAATTAATTGGGCAGTGTGGACTTCTTTTCACCAATCGTTCCAAACAAGAAGTTGTCGACTTCTTTGAAACATTCACTGCTCCAGATTATGCACGTTCAGGATTTGTTTCAACAGAAGAAATCATATTGCCTGAAGGACCTCTTCCAGATTTTGCACATTCTCTGGAACCTCATTTAAGGCAACTGGGAATGCCCACCAGTTTGCAGAAAGGTGTTATAACTTTAGTTAAAGATTATACTGTTTGCAAAAAAGGAACTGTGCTAACACCTGACCAAGCCCGTATTTTGGTATGTAGTGTAGAGTGTGTGTGTGTGATTTATTATCATTCTAAGTAATTTTTTTAATTTTTAAATTTTTATTTTTTTAGAAATTGATGGGTAGACAAATGGCAGAATTCCGTGTCACATTAAAATGTATGTGGGATAAGGATGGAGGTAAAATCAAAAAGTTTAAAAATGAAACCAAAAATTCACAAAATGGTACAGAAGAGAATTTCAGCCTACGAATGGATGCTGAGGAAGATATGGATGAAAACGGAGAAGATAATGAAAATGATGATGATGAAATGGATGCGGAAGGCGGTGATGAGGAAGATTAAATATTCCCAAATTTTCCATGTCTATCAAACTATTTCTCCCCATAGGGTCTATATTTTTCCATCTGGATGCCTTTACTTATATATTGTTTCAATTTATCAATTGACACTCATAATGCCCTCAAATGTCCTTCTAAAGTATTCTGAAATTTTGCATCCACTTTGCATTACTGTGATATCTGAATAGTAGTTATTATGAATGTGGCACTTCAATTTCTTAACTACTCAAGTAATTGGTCATGTTAATTTTCGTGGTTCCGTATTCTCCGTTTTAAAGATACATACGACAATAAAAGTATGTAACCAGAGTTAGTGTCTTTGTTCAAAACCCACCTTACAAAAATTTCGTTTTTCCTTGTTGAATATTTGTGTTGTACTGAAGCCACACAGAGCCCTGCAGGCCATGGCTCTACGTGCCGGGGGGGCCGTCGGCGAGCAGCTGCTCGACGCGCCGCCGCTGCCGCTGGGTGAGCGGGTCGGCTGGGGGCGGGTGCGGCCGCGCGCCCAGGCTGAAGCAGCGCACCATGCGCACCCCGTCCAGCGCGCGCGTCTGCAGCAGCGCCAGCTCCTCGACGTCCTCGGCCAGGCGCCGGCTGATGCGGTGCATGGCGCGGCCATAGCGCCGCCGACACACGGACCAGCTGCCGGACACACAGGACGCCAGTGCTGAAACAGTCTCGGGCGAGCTTCGGTCACACGCGGCTGAAACATACGGTGTGTGTGTGTGACCCAATTCGAAATCGAACCGACAATTTTCGTCACTTTTTGTGCTCGAATTGTGGAGGATATGGGGAAAACCGTGGGATGGCTTATACTCTCTTAGTGGAAAATACTACTCATCACACTTGATCGTGCGTCTAAAATTCCAAGCGCTGCTCACGATTCGGAAACAAAGCGTTAAGTTATTGTGCGTACGACGATATGCGGAGTTTCACTTTCTTCCAGGCGCGGTTTACGAGCGATCGCCCCCCATACCTACACCTTGTCGTTTGAGTTGCCTGAAAGGTATGCAGTTTGCGCGACTGCAAAACCCCTGTAAAGTAGGCAGCCGGCAGTGTTAATCATGTTTGCCCTGGCTCATGCCCTCCTCATGCCCCTCCCTTCCATCCCCGAGCGGATAGTTTTGGCTTTGACACTGATTGGGTGGCACGCACCAGAACTCGAATATTTCTCGAAACCGACTGGCTGAAAAGCGACTCTCCCGGTCCCAGTGAGAAACGTTGAGGTCCATTGGACGTCAAATTGACGTCGAAAGTCGAGACGTCGATTTTTTCCCCCGTTAGCATCTAAATTGGCATATGTTTGACGTCTTCGTCGAAGGCTTCTCAGTGGGGTTGGAGGCAGCGTACCCCACCCCTCGGGGTAAGCACCTCGGGTAACGTACTACCGCCTACCGCGTGCCCTGGGTTCGATTCCCGAGAACGGGGTAAGTCCAGAGCGGCCGACTACTGCCGCCTGGTCGCCGCGACCGCCAGGCAGCCGAACGTCCAAGCTCTGGTGGGCGCTTGACGGAGCTGGCGGTTGACACCTCAGCGCCTGCGATACTCAGGGTAGGCCGGCCCGCAGTACACACATGCACTGCAGGCAATACGCTGCCTACCGATCAGGCGCTCTGCGAGATAGCACCGCCAG